TTGTACCGTGTTGGATTCAGATGTCATAGTGACCCTTAACAGTGGAAGATTTGGCCGAATGTTTGGATGTAGGTTTCTCGTGGGGCTTCCAACAATTATCATGAGTGTAGTTGGGTTTGCGATAGTAATCACAAGTAGGATAACCAGTCCGGGGTTGAGAACTATTAGAGACCCAAGCGAGTGCTTCGATCGATAGAGGATTTGAGGTTGATGTCGATCCTCCGTTGGATTCAAGTACACCATTGGAAGGTGGCTCTGTGGTGGAGTCCGCATAATTCGGACTGAGCTGAAGGAGATGTTGGGATGTTGAGAAACAGGAATATTCTGACCGTAGGAGGAAGAACCAACAATGGAAGATCCTGCATGGGTAGATATGGCCTCGGGATGGAGCTCTGGCGATCAGAGAAAAAACGGCTAGCATAGGAAAATTCCAGCGGCTAGAAGAAGCTTTGGTCGGTTGGAAGGACAATTTGGAGGGACTCTGACGACCTAGAGAGAGACCTGACTGGCTGAAGGAGGATCCGACAGTTGGTAGGGAGCCTTAGTGGCTTGGAATTTGCAATAGCATCAGTAGAGTCGAGAGCAATAACAAGACTACAATCTACAATAACATCAGTAATTTGGCCCAGAGGTTGATATGCAGCGACACAGATGTGAAAGCATATTGTTGAAGGGCAAGATTCCATATTCAATGTTAAAACAACAATATAGAGCTCCACAGCCTCCAAACGCTTTCCTGCTTGAAGTGCTTCGTTGCCTTTAGTTTGCGCCTGGAAGGAAGACCTAGCCGCTAGAACGAGCAGTTGGAGGGAGAAGTTGTTCTGGATTGCTAGAACGAAGGTCTGCCAGTTGGCGGTTAGTGGAGAAACCTGACAGCTAGGTTAGAACCTAGCTTTGATACCATGTTAACTTTGAGAATAGAACCAGGTGATCTTATTGATGCAAAGAGGAATATAAACTCATTTCATGATCTACTAGTAAGGAAACAAATAAAGATAAAATAAAAAAATGAAAACAAATAACAACAAATCAAAGTAATTAATGCAGAAATATGCATATTAATATTCTTATAATATAATATAAATTCATAAATTTATAATTTTAAATCCTTAACTTTTAAAGCTTCGGTCTCTCTTACCCGCACTTGGAGATCCTTCTTCCTCCTTTGCAGTGAGATCCGCCTCCTACCAACACGCACGGAAGCTCCTTCCTCTCTTATTCCTTCAATCATCTAGTGCACCACTCCTCTTTCCTGTGTCGTAGCTGAGGCTGTTTGGCTAAGGCACGGGCTTCCCTTTTCTTTTGCATGCACATAGGGCTCACGAGAAGTCTTCTGTCTTCTTCCTATCGCACACCAAAACTTGTAGACACATTCTTTCGAACCCAAGTCGATCATCTGCTCGATTTGGTTTGCCAGACGACGATGATCTCTTTGCTGCAAACACACGAGGTTTGTCTTCTCTCTAGGTAAGCCATTCACGATTGGAGTCGGCATCTGACACGAATTTTCTCGATCCTGCCTTCGTCTCGTCCTAATTTATAGAACAAACACACCCCATTGGTTCTTCTCTTGGACCCCCTAAAGGAGATGAAACGAGGTGTCACATGTACCTTGTCGATTCGTTGTTTGGTTTTTGTTTTCAGTCCAGACAGCTGTTGAACTTGCTCCACCTACTGTCCCACCGTCTATTTTGCTTCCTACAACCTTCCCAACGCTTACGTCTGCTGTTTACAACCAGAAACCGCCCCTTTCCTCCAACCTCCCCGCTCACGTAATCAATCATGTAACTTTTCCAATAGTTTTTGTGCTTTATCACGCCACACAAGAACTCTAGAATGATATCATCTAGTATTAGAGCTCGACAAACTAAATTTGTAGAGAATTGTCCTTTTTATTTCAGGCCAAAATTCTAAAAAATCCCCACAATACCAAATCATTAATATCGCCATTTACCACCGACCAACAAAACCCTAAACTTCGACCAACCTTTATGTACAACTCTACATTAGGCGAAACCTTGAACGAGAGAAATGAACATAATACCTCCTAGTTGAAATCTACAAAGAGGTGTCCATGGGCTTACTATGGATGATATGCAGCGAAAAATCTTCCAAATGCAATAGAGGTTTGCCGTCTTTGAGAAGAGACGATTTGGTGAGGTCACTCGTTGTCACAATGGTGACTTGGCAAATCAAAGGGAGGAAGTGAATCCCTTTTATCGAGATGTTTCCAGTGAGGAATAATTGACGCCACATCGATTTGGGATTGAATGCCAGAGAAGATACGATTTTGGAGTGAATGACTTGCTGAATTTTGACGGTTAAATAAATCCGGACGAGTTTATCGAGTTACTCTAGGCAATGGAACATGTCTTTGAGTACCAAGATGTCTCACTAGATAGAATGATGAAGCTAGCCACTATTAAGTTAAGGAATAACATCTTTGTGAGGGGATAATTTGAAACGCCTACGATAGTAAGAGAAAAAATAAAATCACAATCTGGTTCAAGATGAAACTAAAAATACAATGTAAATACCTTCTAGTTTCTTATAGACATGATATGTTCTTGAGACTCAATTAGTTTTAGTAACAAGGTAAGTAGAAAATTACACAGTTGAGTTTGGGCAATTTATGTTGAAGTGTAGTTAGTGGAGCCTGAGAAAAATATCATTGCTCGATATCTGAGGGGATTGAGACCGTCCATTGGCAATGTGGTCAAATTTCAACACTATTAGATATTACAAGAAAATTTAGACTCTATCTTTAAAGGTGGAGAGACATCATCGCATTATCATGTTCACACCATTCTTCAAATATAACAACCTCAGAATTAAGCAGCAAGAGTACACCTAGTGGAATATCCCAACCGACCCGTCCAGAGGAAAACCCAGTTTATAATGAAGAAAAATTAGAGCCCACCAGTACTCCTCAATCCATCATTACCAATAAATGCTTCAAGTGTTATGGCTTTAGGCATATTACATCTAATTGTCCAAATAGGAGAGAAATCTTTTTCACTAAGCAGAGAGCAATTAAAGAAATGGACAAGGATACATGAGAGAATGAAGTCGTCAGAGAAAATTCTTAGTCTTAATCCGATGAGTGAGAGATGCTAGTGATTCAAACTTTAGCCTAATTGAGAGATCACAATAGGATTAACAAAGATAGTGTCTTAGGAGCTGATACTCGAAAATGGACAACCCATGTTGAATGAGTTGCCGGATATCATGACTGACCATTTTTCTCTTAAGTGGTTACCCTTGAGTGTGGTCCAATCTGCTATATATTTTATTTCAGAGTCGATTTCTCCATACAAAATTATTTATCATATACACTCAACCGAGTATAAGGAGTGGGAGAAGCAGGTTGCACACTTGATGGTTAAAGGCTTGATTTGTGAGAGTACTAACTCAGATGCAGCTCCAACTCTGATTGTGACATGAAATGATGACTACTTCTATTAGGATAGTTTTTCGAATGACTTACGTGTTTTAAAGTTGTCTGGGATGAATATGGGCATAGATTTTGTAGTGGATTTCCGTCGACCACAATAGTGTAATGATGCCATTGTGATGATGCTTAGAAGACAGTGCCATGAAAGAGATGACATCTGAGGTAGTGTGGCCCTCAATAGAGAAGTTTCAGGATTTCTGAACCTCATTGTACGCCCTTGTTTGCCATTATTGAGAATCGTCCAACATGCCATCACTTCAGATCAAAAAGAGGAGTTTTTGAACAATCTCAAGGAGCCCCTATGTAGTAAGTGTGGTGTTAAATTTCACTTCAGTTCAACAGTGCACCAATTGACAGATTACCAGACAGGAGGGGTAAACCACAACGTTGGAAATCTTTTTAGGTGCTTTGTGGGAAGAACATCATACAATGCATTATATGTTTTTCCAGTGAAGAAGAACAAGCTTCTCCTAGTCCGGGAGAATTTGCGAAGAGTCTATTTCGAGTCCGAGGAATTGTAGAGGCCACGGAACGTGAGATCGCATGGAGCCATAGATTGTGGATTCAGACGGGAGCGAGGAAAGCCGACTTCAAATTTAGCATTTTCTTTTTTTTCCTTGTTGATTTTTTTCTATTCCTCTATTTTCTAATTAGTTTTTATGAGAGAATTATTTATATGCTATATTTTATGTTTGGGGGACTTTTGGCTTAGTTCATGTATTTTGGAGATATTTTCTCTGATTTTTCCTAATGGAGTTCTGTATCCTTTGATTTTCTTTCATTCGTGTGTTTATAGCCTGATAGGTCCGATTTGGTGATCTCTCCTGGACATTCGAAGGCCTTCTTCATCCTCCAACTTGTAGTAATTTGCCCGCTGTTTTTCGTTCCTGCTCTTTGTCCAGCCACCCATACCTCGTCGATTTGTCATTTGGCTGCTTTTTTCAATCCGGACAGCCATCAAACTCGCTCCACCCGCTGTCCCACCGCTTATTTCGCTTACTACAACTTTCCCAATGCTTCCATCTGATATTTACAACCAGAAACCGCCCCTTCCTGCTTAAATTTGCTGTCCCGTGGCCGTCGTTCACACTGGTTTTTAGCCATTCTCCAACCTCTTCTCTCACGGAATCAATCCAATCCTACGACTTTTCCAACACCTTTTGTGCTTTATCACATCGGTTAAGAACCTTAAAACAGTATCAGATAATCTTCTTAATCCTGATATTTAGCAGATTTGGTTAAAGAGTAGGTTTCTTTTTTTACTGCACCCGACCACATTTATTGGGAAGAGGCCTCTGGAGATCTAGTTTTAAAAGGACGCGTAATCATTACCCCTGATCAACATATTAAGTTATCTGACCAATTTAAGATTCAATAATGCAATAAATGATTGGGGTGCACATTGCTATGCTATTATCGGGGTTTGCAGTTTTTCTGTTCATGAGTGAAGTTCTTAAACTGTATTCTGATTTTCAAAGTTGAATATGCATTACTTCTCATCATCTTGCTCTTCATTTGATCGAAGCTTAATGTTAATTGTTTGTAGGAGCATTTCAGCAGTATCTTGTCTATCAGGTCAAAAAAGTAAGGTTGCAGGTGATTTTTTTTACTTGATTTTATATATTTATATATTTTCTTAGATTATTAGATGCTTTATGAGTTTTGGACTTTTTATATTTCATCAATTACCTTTTTTCAGTTTTCCTGTGTTCAGACCTGATTCGGAGCCTTACCATCAAATGCTGATTTTCTGCTTTCAGGCCTGGTCATCTTTCGGGCTGTAAGAATACACCATCCACCGTGTCTTAACAACATATATCATTACTAGTTGTGTTGCACAGTGGATGGTGTCTTCAAAATAAGAATGTCCGGATGGAGTTCTATTAACCCAGATATCTGCTCACAGAGAAAGTTTTATGGAAAATTTACATACTTAGCACACAGTTCTTTTCTCATGTATGTACATATCTCACACATAAACTTTCATATTTATGTCCATAGCACTTTAGTGTTTTAAACGCATACATGAAAATGTGTATTTTACTTTTAAAAATGGTAATAGTACTTTTTTTGATGTGATATTAATGATTTTAGTGGAATGTGTGTAAATATGAAAGTTTAGGTGTGAGATATGTAAATACATAAGAATTGTGTGCTATTTATGTAAATGCCCCAAGTTTTATTGGTTTTGACTATGGTGTTATTGTTTCTTGTCAGACTCAATTTGATTTACTTTGTCACTGCTTTTGGAGGAGAGTTGAATAGCAGTCTAAGCTCACTGAAACTGTATTAATATATGCTAGAATATTTAAGGACCCACCTTGGTTTTCCCATATAAATCAGCACTATCCTGACCAACTAGTTAGCTTTGCAGGAAAACTAAAAGGTTAAAATTTTTGAAATTATCTCAATTTATTATTGCATTTTGGTAATTTACCTCGGTGTCTCGGACCATATTTATCTCCTTGTTTGGCCTCGTCTGTGACCTCTCACAAAAATAAATGAATCGGAGTTGTTTTTGATAGCACCTAATGAGAGATGAAGGAGAAAATGATGGTTTTCTATATTTTTGCTTCTTCATGACTAAATAACGGTGTCTTCTCAAATAGCAAAGGTGTAAAGGCAACATTAGAAATATCCGCATTTTTTAAAGTAAATGCGGATGCTCAGACTTTTAGAGAGTTTGTTACTATTATTAAGCAATTAAACTTTATGAATCTCTCCAATATATTTTTGATCTCTTGTTGAAAATAGAAAATAATGTTTGATCATGTACAAAATAGATTTTTTATCCTTGATTTAATTTTCTGTACTTCTTAAGAAACTTGCTCTTTCTGTACTTCTTAAGAATCTTGCGACAACAATGTCGTTTTCTTGTTTCTGCAATTTCAGGATTGTAAATATTTTAGTAAATTAGCAGATATAGCTATTGTGAAAGTCTGCTATAATATGATTGTTTTTTGATGCAGGGTTATTACATGTTTAGCGAAAAGCTGAAACACATTGCTCGACTTCCATTTGCCACCACTGCATATGGTATGTATTTTCCTTAATGCAGTTTTAGTACTGCAGCCTGGGCATATACGATACGAAATGATTTTTATATCGAACTATAATAATTTAATTTAAGGGTTTTATGAAGAACCGGATGATGTTGTTGTCCTTTGAAAAGATTGAAAGTTTTTATTTCTACTTGATATTCTCTTGAACAGCTTGCAAATCAATTTTTTGGCATGCTGAGTTTTCCAATCAAATCCATCTAATTCTCTATGGTCAAGCAATGAATCACAATTAAAATAGGTTTCGGTGATTATGGTAGACAGTTAAGGCTATCATGCTTACCACCCTTGCTTTGGAAGATGATGTGAAACACTCGCATAAATTTTGTCACTAGGGACCCCCATTCACTATGACTTCTGAACTCTTTTCTTCTTATGTTTTTCACCTTAGTGATTTATGGGATCTGTACTACCCACTTATAATTCCGTAGACTATTATAATTGTTATTTTGTCTGCTCATCAATTTGTGGACTATTAGGTATTTGTAATTATCATCCTTGATTTTGTATATTTATTATTAGTTCTCTTAGGATTGTATAAATATTAGACAAATGTTATAATAAAGCACTCAACTAATTCTTTTTGGTGATATCAGAGCTTTAGGCTATTTTTTTAGTATTTTCATAAGTTACAATCTTTATCATTTCATTACCTAGAACTTACAAGCCATCATTGCTATAGTTCTCTATCTACCATTGAATTTTTTCATTTGTAGGCTTTTAGTCTTCATCATTATATCCTTATTCTACCTTTTTTTTTGGTAGCCATCTACTACCATAATATCTTGTCCTTTGGATTACACTAATACCCATATTCTTGTGGTCGTAGGTTCATTGGAAACTAAGAGTAATAACTTAAATACATTGGGAGAATTACTAAACATTCATTCATCATTTTTTTTTTTAATTGGAAAAAAATATTTTAAGCTTCTATGATTGGTTTGCACTTTCTAGAAGAGGAGGAAAATCAAGAGATTTACTTGGCACCAAAATTTAACAAGGATTCTTGGGATTTGAATGACTCGATGGTGATATTGTGAATTTGAAACTTCTAGTTTGAGAAATAATTGATATCTGCATGTTTTTTCGTTCAATAAAAAAATTATGATATATGATGAATCAAATATTTTTTAAAGTCCATCATGTGACCTAAATTTATAAAATCAAAAACGTCTTTCACGAAGTAAGGAAGGCCATCTGTCATAGAATGCTCTAATTTACTACATGATCTTTAGCAAGAGATGGATTACCATCAGTGCATTCAAATGAAATGTTGTAAAGGTGCATCCCTCAAATTTTTTTGAACTAAATTTATGATTTTTTTGTTGGATTAAATATTGAGTTTGATGTTGGAGTATAAATATTTAGAAAAGAAGAATTACTTTCCCGAAATGTAGTCATTGCCATCATTTGAATGGAAGAAGGATGAAAGGGAGTTATGTTATCTATGATCCTATAGAAGGTTTGACCTTAGTGACGAAAACTGTGAAAATGAAGCACTCTAATTCAATACAACAAAGCCATTGAGATTTTCTATTTCACACATACACCAAAATTTCTTGACATATAAAGAGAAAAATTGGAAGCTTCCTGGTAAACCGCCGAGCCAAAATTGGATGACATAAGGAGGTTAGGCAAAAGAATAGGGGTATGCATAAATAATGCATGTGTAAGAAGACAACACCAAATAATTACGCATTGTGTTTAAAGAAGTAAAAGAAGTTGAAAATTTGCTGATATTGCTACAAAGGACTCTTGTGGCAAGTGCTTGTTCTCTTGCATTCTCAGATATCATTTTTTATCATGTTTTTAAATTCGCATACATACCCAACTCTTAATACCTAATTATTGATTTAAAAGCTATTGACTAAATGACAATTCCTTAATAAATTTAATTTATATATTCCTTATTCAAGTAACACTTTTTTTTTATTGATGGCTTTTTAATAATCGTTGTTAATCGAGGAGATATTCTTATAATAAATTTTTTTGCATTCTGAATGTTCTTCATTTATCAAAACTACTTATCAGCCTGTTAACTATCCAAAAGCTAACTTTAAAATCGAAATGCTGTGTTATTTTCTTACCTTTCACATTATGTATTTCAGGAACAAGGCATGAGAAGCAAAGTTTTGTTTGCTAAAGAAAGAGATAGTCTCTACTACCTCAAGAAGTCTAATAATCAAGCAATCTCCACACAACATGTTATTTTTTCTTTCATTTATATAAACTTTAAAATCGTTAAAAAATAAGATTTGGATCTTATATTTAGTTATTCACAAAACTATATTTCCCCTATAAGAACATTTAAGTTAAAGAATTTTAAAATAATAACATTAAAGCTGAAGAATTTTATTATGGAATTTTTTAGTTAACAAAATACAAGCATGCCCTTTTTTTAATAAGTGATATAAGAACCTAAAGCACTTTTATCTCTCATTCATAGTATTATCTTAGGGACTATCCTCTAAACTTAAGATCCCTAAAGCTCAGTAGTTTGTGGTTTTTGTTGATGATTGCATTCGTATGTTATGGATCTTTTTACTACAAGTCAAAAGTGGTGTAATTTTTATCATTTCCTTCCTTTTCCACATTAGAAAAAAATTACATTAATGCTGAAAGTAAAATAGTCAAATGTGATAATGTAAATATTTTCTTAACATTCTTTTTCCTTGTACTCCATAGAAAAAGAATAATATAGTAGTCACTTGTGTTTATAAACCTAAATAAAATGGGGTGGTAGAACAAAAGAGTGACTTATTATTTATTACCACAAGAGGTTTTCTTTTTCAAAATAATGTTTTAAAATAATATTAGAGGGAAGCTATTTTAACAGCTGTTTACATTCTGAAACAGTTACTTACAAGGGTCCTTAGGCTTAAAAGTTTAACAGAAGTCCTAACCAAATTTTTTTCTTTAACACTTCAAACAACCTTTTTTCCAATATATTTTGAGACTTAATCCAAGAGTAATTAAATGCAGCTTTATTGACTAGTTTCTTTTTCAATAAGTGTGCTAATGCTATCATTCTTTTACAAGAAAGGTATTTGTGCTTGCTGATTTCACTTTCAATAATGATGATTTATACTTTTCTTATTACTTACCCCAATGAAAAAAATATAATTCACAATTTAATTTTTTCTTTTAGATTTTTCTTCTTCATCTGCATCCTAGCAGACCATCCATTCTGACATAAACTAAGCTTGTACAAAGAACCGTTTACTAATCTATTGTGTATTTATTTAATAAGAAATTTATTTCAATCTAAACAAGTATAATCAATCAAATCAATTCTTATCATTGAATCTATAGAGGAAATCATTGAGCTTACAAACAAAGCTATAAGAACTACTAAACATTCTTAACATTTGTTCTTATTATATAAAAAAATTTTTATATAGTTACTAATTCTTTTTTAGCAGCCTCCATACTATTTCTATTCTTAAAATTGTTCGTGAGGCTTTAGGGAGGTATTTGGCTACAATTTGGATTTAAGTTAAAAATGAATTTAGTAAATCCAAATTTATCAAGTTCAGAGGTATTGAATTCATAATTATGTTTGGTTAAATTATCACTAAATCCTATTAAATTGTTCTTATGTATTTGGTGAATTCAAGAAGCGACGATATGAGGTACCTTCTTAAATCTCTTAAATCCAACTTTCAATCGGATTTACTAAATCCGGGATTAACGTTATGTCGCCCAAAATTTTTGATTTTGGGGGTGTTGAATTTACATCCCCTATTTTTCATGTTTGGCTTGATTTAGGTTGGATTTAGTTTAAATACGTGTAAATCCAGCCTTGAATCATGTTACCAAACACCCCCTAAGTAAGATGAATTGTAATAATGCTACGAAGGAAGAAATGTAAGAGAATTGATGACGCTGCCAAAAGGAAAAAAAGTAGACTTTATATGGGTCTTTGCTATAATATAAACTCGATTGTTAAAGCAATATCAGTAGCTAAAGGCTATATTTTAACATATGAAATTTATTGTCTTGAAACTTTCATTATAGTTTCTAAATTGAACTCTCATTTGGTTCTTTTCTCATTAGCAGCCAACAATGACTAGATGCAATAATTCAATGTGAAGAATGCATTTTTATATGATAACTTAGTGGAGGAAGTAATTGTAGGTCTTATCAGGTTTTGGCTCAAATAAAGGTATGTAAAAAAAAGAGAATATATATTAAAACAACTTTCAAGGGCATGATTTCTATTTTTTGGGGTAATGTATAACATGAATTATAATTAAAGCTAAGGGGACCATATTATTTGTGAAACACATGATTTTAAGAGGAATCTTTGCATTTCTGTTTTATATGAATATCATCATGTTACTTGGAAGAAATGTAAACTTTAAAGAAAAAGTTGCTTTAAGAATTTGAAGTCGAAACATGTAAAAACTTGGAAGAAATGTAAAGTTTAAAGAAAAAGTTGCTTTAAGAATTTGAAGTCGAATAATTTGGCAGGCTAAAACACTTCTTTGGCGTTGAAGGAAAACACTTGGTTGAAGATGAACCAAGCATTCAATAAATTACTTGTAGCTCGGCTTGATTAGAGCTCCTTTATGGTCATTTAATTAAAAAATCGAACAAACATGTATATTTTTGTAAAGACTAATTAAGTGAACAAGCTTGAACAACTTAATAGATTCATTTATGGTTTTGATAGTATTGCTTAAAGTTTATTAACATGCTTTTTAAGAAGCTCAATTTAGCTCAATTATGGCCTAATTAAGTCTCTTTTATGAATAGTGTTGTTTAAATGTCTATTTTTTTGGCTCAATAAGATATTCTTGTTACCTCTCGTTCGTTTTTTCAAATAAGTGGCTTGTATAAGCTCAATTAAAGTTTGATTGCGAGTTATTTATTTTATTAAATGAGTTGCTCCTGAATAAGCTTTACTATCTTTATATAAACGAGCTTGAATTGTGTTTAAGTCGAGCTTGAATATGGTTTTAATAAATGAGCTCGAGCTGGAACACATTCGAGCTCGAGCTTGAACACATTTTTTAGGCTTGAGCTTGAATTGTGTTTAAGTCGAGCTTGAATATGGTTTTTAATAAATGAGCTCGAGCTTTAATCGTGTTTGAACTGAGCTTGAACATGTTTTTACTATTTAAGCTTGAGCTCAAATAAGTACGTGCTCGGTTTGGCTAGGCTTGTTTGTAGCCCTAATAACACACTCTCAATAATTCATCTTTAGATCACAACAACAAGCCATAACAATTTTGCTTAAAAAATCAATCATAAATTTGTGGATGCTCTAAGAGACACGATAGCATAATACCTTTTATTAAAGATTTGTGGGTAGACTTATCTATTTATTACATACCAAAGCTAACATTATACATGTTGTTGGTGTGCCAAGTTAATTCATAAACAATTCTAAAAAATTACATCATATGATTCATGTTTTGAATTTGCAATCTCTGAAGGTGAAGAGTATCCGTCCCTTTAAGCTTCCACATGTTGATTATGCATGTTTTATTACTGGCATGTGATTTTCTTCTTAGGATATTGCATATTTATAGGTGGAAAATAAACATAAAAGTCTAATTCAGATCTATGAAATTGGGAATATGCAAATTTTTATGTCTTAAGGCTATCCCAGGGAATTTAAAAGTTGAATCAAAAGGTCCTATAAGGCTCTATTGTGATAACTAGTTAGCCATAAATATTGTACTTAACCTTATGCAATTATTTGCACTAAGTGCATTGAAGTTAGCACATCTTATGAAAGAAAAGTTGGACAATAGTCTAGTAGTATCCACAGTGAAGCTCCATGCTTACTAAGACTTATGTCCTCTTTCTTTCCTGTTTTACTACCACGTCATTTATTCATGGGCATCCTAATGCTTACTCATCAATCCATGGATTCTTATCTTTATGTTATTATTATGCCTACTTATTAATTTATGCACTACTGTATTTATTCTGTAAATATTATTATTTTTATTTTGTCTGCTTTTTTATTCAAATTTATCTTAGAATTATATAAATATTACACAAATATTGGAATGAACACTTAACTGATTCTCTCCAGTTCTTCTGATATCTCAAATCTGTAGATTTCATTACTTTGCGGACAGTAGAAACTGTAGCATGGTCTTGCTTCATGTCACCCTTAAGAGGAAGTTATATAATGAAATGTTCCTCAATAAATGCTAGGTGTGGGTGCCTGATCTCGGTAGGGCTTTTACTTATCATTGAGCTCATGCAGAAATCTTTGTTGACAGTCATTTAACCTTAATACTGTAGGTGGCCCCTCAGTTGGTGACAGGCTTGGCAATGTTAGCTTTGGTACCAACATGGAGCATCTAGCTGAAGCTAATCTAGGGTATTTATGTGATCGAATTAACATTTAAGACAAACTAATAATGCATGATAATTAAGAACAATTTGTAGAGGTTTAGAAAATAATAAATTTTATTTGTCGTAGAAATTTGGTGAGATAATGGACTAAATAGTGAATGTAAGAAAGCACATATCTACAAAGATGGCACTTTGGATGGAAAAAAAAAATTGCTTGTTTTTGGCTTAGTTATTCAATTGAGATTTTATTAGCTTACTGTAGCAATGCTACGCAACCTGTTACCATGCTTATTTTTTTGACATGTCCTCCTCAGTAGCTCACCACGATTTCTGTAGCATTTACGTTTTGTATAGAGCAAGTACCTTATGAGTGCTATTCAAAACAAAGCAGTAATCCTTTTACCTTCTTGTGAATTTGGGGATTATTTAATTGTCACTCCACTAATTTTGAGAGTTTTGTTAGTGTAATGGTGGTTGTTTTTATAGCTTGTTCTGCAACAACTCCCTTTTTGTTCTTGTGATTCAGGAACCGCCTTGATGCTACTTATCCTTGTTTGGCAACCACATCTGCAAATCTTATCTGTGCCAACATTATTAAGGTATGTCTTATCTACTATACACACTTAGCTTTGATAAAGGATGTCATAACATTTTGTATATGTGCTCATTTCAGCAAACTGACCATTATGATCCATTCGGAGTATGTCTACTGGTTAGATATAATTTTGATTCGAGACAAGCTTTATCCCTTTCTTACTAAATTGGACATAATCCTTTTAACTCTAATTAAAATCATACAATCTTCATATTGTTGGGTAGCTAATGCAATCCTTTATCATTTTTGCGTTTGCATTCTTAGCAATTATGAAATCTGAAATGCATGAGTTGGGGCATAACTTTTTCATTTCTTGTTGGAATACTGCAATTTGGGATCCTTGGTATCATTGGCATACTTAGATTGCTATGGCATTTGTGCTCACTATTTTGTTGTATTCTGATATACAATGTTCGCAGTTTTGGCACATGTGGATAAACATGAAATCTGACTTTTAGAAACTTGGACAGTTTCTTTTCTCTAATTTAGGCATATCTTTCTTATTTCTTTTTGGAATTACATGAAATTTTGAGGGTAGACTATTGACCTTATCCACTAAATTGTCTATTGCTGCTTCAACCACTTCGTAAATTTTTAAAAATAAAGAAAGGATGAACCCCCCCCCCAAACTCTCATTTAACCATACATTGCATTGCATATATTGTAAAGTATACCAAATGATGCATCAAAAAGCTTGTGTCTTGGTGCATTGACAAGCGTGGGACAACATACACTTGCATTTTGATGAAATACTCAACCAAGGAATAAAGTTTGAATTGGACCAACTCTGAAATTGTGTGTTTAGAAAATCATTCAAACAAAAGCCCCATCAACTCCACCATCGACACTATAAGGATCAAGTTTTAGCAGACATTATATTTTTCCTTGGTAGTTTATCTCATATTCTTTATATTGTTTAGAATTTTGGGCATTCAAATGATATTTACTCCGTGCAAAATAAGGGACAACACATTTGAATAGTTCTGATCAGCTCCGAGGAACTAAACATGACTCTTTAAATTATATTAAATTTTCCGAAAAGCTTATGAAATTTTATTGCATTATCTTAGATTTTTTTTTGTATTATCGCGTATAATGTTGGCCTATAAAAAAGAAGCCTACAGCTAAATTAAGTGTCGTTGGGATGTCAATATCCATTATGAGTTGTGCCCCACGAGACTTTAGTAACATCAAGTAAAGTAATATCTCTTTCCACAAGTATTCTGGTCACAGAAGATCTGATTAGGTTGAAAGTGGGTAGAGTTAGTTTCATAGGGTCTCCAAGTATGACCAAGTAAAGAACTCGATGATGAAAAAAGTGCAGCTTGATACCAGGTAAACTAAACCATACCGGTACAGTAGGAGATTCATGATTAAGGTCGAAATCATGAGACCACTTGAGTAACTTCATTGACTTGCCTGCAATGTTAAGATATCTTTTGGAGAAAATCCGAGTGTAGTCTTCAACCACGGTTAATTAAATCAACACATCTCCCATCCATGAGTCATACTTTTCACTTTCCTGCTAGTTTGAGGTCATCAAAATTTTTTCTGATAACTTCCATAGGTGGGTGCCCCCATTAAAATTTTCAAATTAGAGCGAACTTGAATTTTCTCACTCAGGGTTGCAATTTCTAATTTAGAGAAAAAAGTGTTGCATCTCCACTTTTTTTACTTGCATTCTTAACAAAGGGGCAGTCATCTGTACCATCACGATACCATCACGATAATTCTTATAACTATAATTCTTATAACTTGAGGGGAAGACAATCGCCTACTCCACCTGAGGATTACCCACCACGTGGGCAAATGAGGCTTTGCCAAGTTCAACTGAAGAAGAAGGAAACTCCATCAGAGCAGGTAAATCCTCTTGCTAGAAGATCTCAATAGAATTGCTGTCTGCGTAGTCTTGAGAACTCGGAAGGCGGACGTCGACGTCGAACATACGCAAACGTGAACCAAAGTTGTTAGGCAGGGAGAGGCGAAAGTCGACGTCAAAACAAAAGAAGGACGATACAGACTTGAACGACAGACGCCGTCATCAAAATCGAAGAGATGCAGACGGAATCATCGGCGTCGAAGGACGCAAGCCGAGGAAGCGGAAAGTGAAAAGCGGGAGCGGAGAGTCTACGACAGAGAGGAGGTACGAGCCCTCTCCTTCGAGCGACAAAATTATAGGCGACGAAAATCACCATTCGAAACCCTAGTTGAGCTCTCGATCGCCATTTTATGTATGTGTGTGTGTATTACAAAAACCCAAAGGCTAATATATTAAAGCGGAAAAGATACACAAAGGTTGTATGAGAGGACATAAAAGAAAGCCCAATTCACACAATACAACACATATAAATCCCAAATAAAGCAAAGATATTTAAAAGTAAAAAACCAAAAAACCACCAAAGGGCGTAAAAGTTCTATGAACATCTCACTTTAGTCCTCCATCTGCCTCGAGTTCTCGGAAGTGAGCCGACTTACAAATTGATAAGGTGAGTACCATTTCCTGAAGTAATCAAAGTATCATCCATCAGATTCTTGAGCTCAAGTATGTTTCCATTATTCTTTTTTCTCCTGGATGTGCAGACCAGCCATCCCTCATCTGATGATTGACTCATCTGATCAGTAGATTCCAAAGTTGGTCGGACAGGTGTAGGTAGTTGCACATCATGTTCCTCATGAGCCTGAGTGACATTAACAACTTGCTCGACCTGATGAGGTGGTAATGAAGCAGTAAAAGTATTGCCACCTGTAATAACGATGATGGGTTCTAGGGCAGTTTAAGTCTGAAGAATCTCCCTCTACTCCACGATAGGAGGTTCTAAAGACAGGGGAGCTACAACATTGTGTGTGAGACTGAATCATTGTCATATTGACCGAGCTTGACGATTGAGCCTGACGTAGCCGACGACGCACGAGCGACGAAGCATGAGTAGCAGACGACGCAAGAGCAGCAAACGACGCACGTCGACAGCGGCGACAACGGCGAATCAAATTCACTGCCTCTGACGGAGAACTGTGATTTTTTTATCTGAGGTGGGGGTGTAAATGGTGGCATTGAGAACTGGAGTGACCGAACATACGATAGTTCGAACAATACGAAGGAAAAGTCTCAATCACTATCTTTTGCCAATATCCTTCGTGTTGTATGCCCAACCAAATTTCTTCAGAAGCGGATGAAGTGATGTTTCTTTCAACAAGTACTCTGGCTTCAGATGAACGAGAAAGATTAAAAGTAAGAATGTCCATTTTGAGTGACTTACCGTAAGCAGAGGCAATAAAGTATAATATTTTTTGAGTAAAATAACGAAATTTAAGACCAGGGAGGCGAATCAAAATCGGAATGATTAGTGATTTCGTCTGTGGGTCAAAATCAGTCGACCATTTTATAATCTTTATTGCTCTATTATCAATCTAGAGTATTCTTCTAGCAAATAAGCGCGTATAAATCCCTTCATTATTTATTTGCATAAGAATATGTCTTCCATCTAACAGTCCAATTTTTCACTCCCCCAACAAGGTGCATAAGTTCAAATTTCTCACGAATGTGCTCCATTTTGGGATGGTCATACAGAAATTTCCCGATCAAATTCAGTCGACAAGAGGAAATAAGTTGAATACCTTCAACTTCAATAAAAAAGATGACAGAATTTTCATTCTTCCTACTAGGTTTCTTGATGTCCTCCGCCCACTCAAACGAAAGAGCGAAATAACACGATTTAGGTGTACCTGATGCATGGACAACCGTAAGGGCAGCAACGCACGATCTGCCCGAAGCCATCCCCAATAGATGGAGGTGCGACGTTAAGAACAGTGAAGAAAAAAATAAAGAGTAAACTCCGAATCCAAAATAGGGAGCAGGAGCCGAAACTTGAAACCCCTGCGATTTCAGCTCGAGCCCGAGGACGACCTGAAGCCTAACTGGAAGGCACGACCACCAGTAACCGAGCTTGACGATTGAGCCCGACGTAGCCGACGACGCACGAGCGACGAAGCATGAGCAGCAGACGACGCACGTCGACAGCGGCGACAAACGCGAAGCCAGCGGAAACGACGAACGACGAACGACGAGCAGAGCTTGATCGACGAAGAGATGCAGTGGAGTAACAACCAGGGATCGCCATTGCGAAACCCTAGCAGAGCGTGAGCGAGAGCGCCATTATATTACACACACACACAGATATATATATATATATATATTTTATGTGTGTGGTGTGTGTCATTTATATATATATATATTATGTGTGTGGTGTGTGTCATATTTTCGTTTAATTCTAATAAATTGACGTTGGCTTAGGCTGATTCGATCGATCAACAAGTGTGTGTCGGTCCAGGAGGGAGGATGGACTAGCCAACTCTTTATTAGGTGGGAATTGCGTCCCCTTTATCCCCCTCCTATTTACCTTATTATAAATATGTTGCTTGCTGAACTAGGGTTTAATTTTTGGCTGACTTTTGATGTCTGCCTCCAGGAGTTTTCCTTTGTTGGGGTTGTATCCAAGGACAGGTGATGCTTTGACTGTATCCTACTTTGAGGTGGTGGTTATTTTCTCAATTCTTAACATAACTCGAAGCTAAAACAACTACTCTCCTAACCGGATCATCAGATGGTGACATTAAGCATGACCAATCCATCTAAGGTGAATTGCTCTATTCTTGTTTCCCCCTGGAGCTACACCAACCCTTTAACGGGTACATTCGTTCTGCATTTTGTTTCTTAGTGTCATCCCCATGCCTCTCCACCTAATTCTCATCTCAGCAATACTTAATTTAGTTATTTGCTTCTCTTTTATAGGCCAACATTATACACTATAATACAAAAAAAAATCTAAGATAATGCAATAAAATTTAATAAGCTTTTAGGAAAATTTAATATATTTTAATGAGTCATGTTTAGTTCCTTAGAACTGATCAGGACTATTCAAATGTGCTGTCCCCTATTTTTCACGGAGTAAATATCATTTGAATGCCCAAAATTCTGAACAATATAAAGAATATGAGATAAACTAC